ACGCCCAGTGTTCATCAGGCCAGGCTCGGTGTGGACAAAGCTGCACCCGCCCTGCCTGGGACACCGCAAGCTCCACATGGCCACAGCGGCAAACGACTACGGATGTAAAACCTAAAATGTAAATTCAATGAGACAAGAATTCTTCTTCCAGCATTTCTATCAAGTGTAGGAAGCCCCCAGGAGTTAAATGTGCGACGTTTGTTAGTTTCAGTGGTCTTAATAAAGACAAATACATTATGTTTTTGTAATTTATACCTTGAAAAGCGAACGTTTTTCCCCCATTTCCCGGGACGAAACAAAGCGTTTATCGCCACAGTGAACAGTTCATGAGCTTAAACCAAATTATAATGAAAAGCCTGTCCCATGCGACTTGTGCTGCGGTCTTACCTTCACAAACAGCTCGATAACGGGTTCGATATCCGCCTTGACCCCGTTCTGCGGTACCGACAGCGACATTATTACGGGTGCTGCTCTTTGAAACTTTGCTAACAACGTTGTGTTTTGCTACCACGCCCGACTTGGCTCGGTCCACTTCTCCACCACCTTTTAGTTTTTCCGCAGTGAAGCCCAGACAGCGCTTTTCTCCCCAAGGAGGACCCTGTGCAGACGGTCTGTTTAACAGAAGGGACACGGACACAGGTACTCAGTTGGTTTTGTTTGTTATCTGATGTGTGAGCGCTACCGTTAGCTACACAAACACCTCCTGACCGCGAGGCTCTTCCCGCTGAGAACGGACTGGAAGAAGCAACGGGAACATTTAAAGGCGTGATGTCATCTGCGGCTCACACGGTGGGAGGAGGCAGTCTGACCCCCTGGAGTGGCCCACGGCACACAGCCACAGCTCCGAGGTATCCGCAAGTTCACGATTTCATTTTGTGCTACTTCGTCCTTAGGCTTCACTACATTTTAGAGGCAAATATTACACTTTTTACTCCATTTGATGTATCTGATAACTTTGGTTAGTTAGCTTTCAGAACCAGATTAATGAAACTAAATCACTATAATCATTAGACTTTATTGACAAGATAACGAGAAGTAATTCTAATGGCATATAAGGTAGTTAACAGAAGCTCCACCTTTACCAGCTGCAACATTATATGTGTAAATTCGATATATGAATTAATGTTTAATATGCCAATCTGCGCAATGGGCACTTTGATATTTAGATGCCAATACTTTATTTTTTGCGGAAGTAATATTTTGAATGCAGGAGTTTTACTTGTGACAGTAGATTTACACTGTGGTGTTACTTTTACTGATGTAAACCATCAGAGTATTTCTTCCACCACTGTAATTAAGTATCATTAATTTTGTACTTTTGTCAGTCCATTTATTTACACACAGTGCCTTGTCTGGTGTTCCAAAACGTTATTTGCCTTTAAATAACAAATTGTCAGTAAATGTAACTTTCACTGAAACAAGTTGGTAACCACTTTTTTTCAAAATTGTATGGTGAGACAATGAAACCAGTAAATGATTTATCAAATACTATACTGCTCAGCTGCAGTCATTGTTTTAAGCAGATTTATAAAATGAAAAGGTAGCCTTACACCTCATTTGAATATAAAGGCATTTATCATGCACCCATCTCTGTAAGATGCAGGTGTGCTTATCTAACAGTAACTACTATCTGGCATTTTACCAGTTTGTCCTTTTCCACATTCATTTTACCAAAGCAGAAATGATCAAATCCTCCAGCCCTTTACAGAAACAAAAATACACAGATCATGTAAAAAGGTTTTAATTCTGAAAGGATGACAAGATGACAGAGCCAGGGTTACTAAATACAAACCAAACTGCAGTCCCGTGGAGTAGCTTGGTGCAAGGGTGTCAACATAAAATTGCATATCAATTATTTGAAAAACTTAAAGCATCCTGTTATATTAGATTGTTGTAGTCTTTAAACGAGAATTTCAAAGTCAGAAAAAAACGCAGGTCAAACAATGCCAAACATCTCTTATTAGATTATAATATGGGACCAGACATTCTGTTACGGCCTCTAACGCTGCATACAGCTGTGCCACACTGATTGAAATAATAAAGGGCAACAGTAATAGTATGTTAGTGTAGGTAAGGTCAGTGGTTCATGCACATGCAATCATTTCTCAATGGAATCTACTGTAGGCTGTGGAAAATATTTAAACCTGCCAACTTAAAAAAACTGTTTCCCTGCTCAACAATATAAAAGTATGGGCAACACAAGCATCTTTACAGTTTAGATAATACACTGATGATGTAAAACACCTCAGAATGTACCAAACTGGTAGAAAGAAAACAAAAGACTCAAGAATTGCCTATTTGTACATTCTAAAGCTGAACCAGAGTGATGGCAAACATCAAGAGTGAGTGGAAAATGCAAAAGTGAGGGGAACTCCTAGTTTTCAGGGCGTATGTGATGGAGATATCTGGGCCTTCCTCATGGAGCGCAGGGCCTTCTCTCTCAGGTGCTTCTCAAGGTCATCCAAGCTGTCGTCGACTTCGCTCTCTGATTCCTACACAAAAAGCATGACATACATACATACATATTATTCAATGTAACCGTCTGGATACAAATGCAGAAAGGTGGTACATGCCAAATACAATAATATCCACTTTTGATTTGATTTGATTTGATTTATTCTTTCAAACATGTAAAAACAAATGATATCAACACACATAATTTTACACATATCCAACCAATGCTAATCCAAAATCAGTTTGCTTATACCTAGTACATGTTTGAATGGAGTAGGAAGAAGTCAGACTTATCCAGTCCTACCCCATAACATCATCTTATACAAAAAATTTCATGCATCATTGGCTGCAAGCAGTATCTAAACATAGGTAACATCTTCTTCACCAGACAAGTAATATACAGAACATTTAAAACAGAGTGTTTCATTCATGCATTCTTGATTAAATCCCTTATTCTTTCATACATCTTGAATGACACATACTTTTATATTTATATTTAAACTCCTCAATTCTAGTACTGTTTTTCATGTCCACACTTAAATTATTCCATAATTTGACCCCACTTATAGAAATACAAAATCTTTTTTTGGTTTTACGTATAGCACTTTCTTGACGTTTTTTCATTGTTACTGAACAGAAATCTTTCTTGATGTTTTTTCATTGTTACTGAACAGAAATCAGAAAGCCTTGTTTACTAAAAATCACAGAAACACTTCACCTTCCTTGGCTCTCCATCCTGTTCCACACCCTGGTTTTCTTGCCCATCTCCACTTGCTGGGGCAACAGTCTTCTCCTTCTTATGCTTCTTGTGCTTCTTATGTTTCTTCTCTTTCTTGTGTTTCTTTTCCTTCTTCTTTTTCTTCTTCTTTCCACTGGTGTCAACATCAGAGTTCTGCAAGAAAACAGACCGAGTATGACATTACATGCCACTAGATAACACCACAACCAATATGACAGAATGATGTCTGAAGTATTAGTGTCAAGGTGGAAGTACACCTTAGAGGGGCTCCCACTAATTTATTTTCAACAGTCTACACACTTTTCTTTTGTGGCTCACTCAAAGACTTCAGGTTCATAACAGTGTTTAGTAGATCGGGTGATGTTGCATATTTAATTGTTAGAGGAACATTCACAAAACTGTATATTTCAAACTTAATAAAAGATTTGTTTGAGGTGATGTTGAATAACAAGATAATGTCAGTCCTGGAGAGAGAGCACATGCATTAATCATGCTATGACATTTTTGGCTTGCTACACAACTATTTATAGAAATGCAAGGTATCTGCATACTTTTATTGCAACCTCAACCTTAAACAAAGCCACCTGTTAGAGGACACCAGACAAAAATACATTTGATTGGCATATGATAGTTTGGCTAACAACCTAATTGGCTTTTTTTTTTTTTTTTTTTAAATTAAGGTTTTTTTCTGTGCACACTCTCCCATAAAATTCCAGACTCAAGTTATAAACCTGTATGTATATATACACTGTACTATCTTAGAAAACCTTAGGTTGATAAGCGGACATATCAAACCTTGCTTGGGGACCGACTGCCAGAACCACTGCTGGCCTTTTTGACTGGAGGTGGGGACCCACTGGCAGAGCGAGACGGTGAGGGAGAGGCAGATGCAGGGGCTGTACGTTTCTGAGCTGTTGGCTGAGGGGAAACAGATCTAGATCTGGGAGATGCTCTTCTCAGAGGCTGGGGGCTAGGAGAGGGTCTGTGGAGAAGATACAGTTGACACCAGGAGGACATTAAAAGAGTGATGGCAGATGCACAAAATGGGCTAATGTACAAATAGAATAAATCTCCACTGTTGTGTAACATTAGTACTTTTGTCTTGTGTACCTCTGGTTGTTGCGTGGCTCTGGGGTGCGAGACACTCTGCGGATGGGTTTGCCACTGTGTGAAGGGGACTGCTGTCTCCTCTGGTTAGATGGAGATGTGCTGGAGGATTCAAAACGTCCCTGCGGACTAGTGGAACTCCTAACAGTGCGACTATGATTTGCAGGGGAGAGACGGCTGGCAGCTCCAACAGGGGATCGTGTGTCCCTGCTCGGACGGACAGAAGGCAGCATGGGACTCCTCCTGTGTCTGAGTGGTGAAGAGGAGGATGGAGGTGTGCGCCTCCTTTGAGCGGGAGAACTTCTGCGCTTGGGCGACCTGGAGGGACGTCGCTTGGTAGCCGGGGAGGAGCGTTTTGCGGGAGAGCGAGACACTTTCCTCTTCTGGGGAGGCAAGGGTGAGGGGCTGTACCGACGCTGGATAGGGGGAGAATATCGTCTGGGGGATGGAGATCTACGACGGTGAGGTGGGGAAGGGGACCTGGGAAGCACCAAATTGAGCAGTCAAAAAACCTTCCTGAATTATTAATATTATAATGACAGCTCTAGGGATAAAAACAAAATGGCTATACCTGCGCCTAGGAGGAGGAGAAGGAGATCTGCGACGTCGTGGGGGAGAAGGGGAGCGACGTCTGCGTCCAGGAGATGGAGAGCGTCTTTTTCTGCAAAAGAAAAAGAATATCAATAAAACAAAGAACACGGTCAACTTAGAATTTAAAGTTAGGTAATTTAGCTACTAATAATGTGTAAATACAGTGCTTAGGTGTCTGACCTTGGAGAGGCATCCCTGTGTCGCCTGCGTGGAGAAGGCGTACGGCTACGTCTCCGCCTGACTTCACCATTTTTGGCACTTGGCCCTGTTGCTGGCCTCTTGGGGCCCTCATCTTCTGAGGAGGAAGACCCTGTATCTATATCCACAAAGGACATCAACAGCTGTATTACTGTAGCCTTTAACTTATGTGGTGAGGAAAAAAAAACCCCACTAAGTCTGGGGCTAGGACACAGCTTCAAAACTCCATGAGATGATGAGTGAAAGATGACATGGACAGAGACTTGGTTAGAGAGAGGAGGTGGGTACAGGGGAAGGAATGAACAAGGATATAAACATTTTTAACCTGAAGATGACTGTTGATTCTGCCTGCGATACTGACGCCGCTGCTGCACCGAATCTGCCGTTGCCCCTTTCTCATTTTTATCCTCCTCTGAAATGTAGAGCATCCAGTGTCCCATCAGTATTAGTAAAACAAGTGAAACAGACTCCCGTGGAAAAGTTACAGATAAAGAAAACAAATTTTTATCCCTGTGGCTTGTGGTTCCATTATGTTTCAACATACCATAGTGCAATCTGACCATATATTTAGAAGACTGTTCCCTGTGTTAGTATGAAATTATTTTTTTTCCCCCTTTCCATCACTTTGTGTCGTGATACCCTAACTGGGATCACATCATGACTATCAGAGATTAACAAATGGGAGCACTGTTATGAGGACCCTGGGCATAGATTTACTCAACTTTCTACCTTGTAGAACAATATCCATGTGCTACTGCCTAAATGGGAATAAAGCCTTTGCAAATGTAATTTTTTTTCCTGCAATGGTGGACCAAGCTTCTACAATTAACTTAACACTCTTAGCTTGTGGTGCATTCATTCTCATAAGTAACCATTTGCATATAAATGGCACAATAATTAAGATTTAGCATTTTGTAATAGGACATACGAAATACACTAGGCATGTTAAGTGGCAATGATTATAACAAGTGAAAAACCACATCCTGTCTCTATCCCCTCCTGAAAACTGGTGCTAATGAACTGGAAAAATGTGTCCAGTTCTGACAAGCTTAAGTAGTTGAGAATGCCATACAACTGGTGATTTCAATTTATGCTGTAACGTGAAAAGCCATTACACTTCTTTAAACAGACAATTTAAAGCTTACCTGACTCAGATCCTTCAGAGGATCTAGGCTTGGCATCATCAGATGGAGAATCCTCTCTTCCCCCTTGTTTTCGCTTTAAACCTGAATAACAAGGTCCCAAAAATTTTAGATACACTTAGAATCTAGTAATCATACTCATATTACAGCTCTTGAAAAAACAGTTTAGTCATTTAGTCAGTTTAAATGTATACTCATCTACACAAGGAATGCACCAAGGAACTGACAGTGTTGTGTGGTCAGTATGAGGCAAAGATGAAATAACTATAAAGAGCAATAAAAAAAAAATTCTTTTTAAATATACCAGATGATCTGGGTGGGGAAGCAGAAGGATTCCTTCTGGCCCGTGGAGACGGTGATCTTCTGTCCCTTCTTGCAGGGCTAACGGAGTTGTCAGGATGATGGGCCTGTTTTCGGGGTGGTGAGCTAGATATTCTTTTCATTGCTTTTTTAAGTGAGCGAGAGCCTGAAGAGCTGCTGCCAGATGATGAAGCAGAGCGAGAGCGCCTCCTGCAGGACATAAATACAGTAACAACTTGAGAAAAGAACACTAAGGTCCAAAGTCTTGTGTGTGGCCACGACAGCAATCTATGCCAATAAAACACTCAAATAATAATAATAATAATAATAATAGGAAGAGCCCATTAGACCACTAGGCCATCCTGTACAATCTGCCCAGCACCTCACTGACCTGCGCACAGGAGAGCGCCTATGTCTATGTCTGGAGCTGGTGGGGCCACGTCTGGGGGGACTCCTTCGACGTGGAGACATCCTCCTCCTGGGACTCTGCCTTCTACGAGGGGAGTAAGACCTAACAGGGTTTAGAGGGCAAATTGAGAAATTTTAATAAATTACAGTCCTTGATTTTACACACACACACACACACACACACACACACACACACACACACACACAATTAAACAAAACTGGAATACACAATGACATGGTGTGTG